AAACAAGGCAAACATAAAAAAATATTATCAAAAATTGATGATAAAAATTTTGCTATAGAATGTAAAAACTGGATTAAATTACAAGGCAAAACAACTACACCTAATAAATTTAAAAATTATATTAATGAACAATTATCTAAACTAATATGTTTAAGAACAACAGCTAACTGGTTAAATAAGCCTGGATATTTTTATCAACCAGTTATATAATAATTATTTTGTTTTTAAAGGAATTTATTAGGATGGTCATGAACGACCAGGTGTAGTTAAAGAATAAAATAAATTTATTGATATTATAGATAAACTCTTTATGGCTAGCATTGAAGGAGAAATAAAGATATTATTAATTATTTAATATTAAATAAAAATCAAATATACCGTAGAGCAATGAGCAAAAGACACTTTTTTTGAGTACCCCATCCCAATTTGCCCTGATACCTACTTTACTGACACCTATTTTGCCAACAACCCACTTTCCCAATGACTCATTGCTTTAATCGCCCACTTTCTCAAATCCATTTCTATGACAACTATTTTTTTGACATCTCATTTTACCAATATCCTATTTCTCTGATACCTATTTCGCTGATAGCTATTTGCTGATAGCCTTTTTGTTTGTAACTAAATTATATAACAAAAAATTATAAGTCTAAAATAATAAAGTTTCATCTTAATTTGACAATCATTTTAGTAACAGTTCATTTAGCTGATGTCATGTTAAGTAGCAAGTTATTAAAATATATATAATTCAACTAATCTTATATTAACTATAACCCATATGATGTTAGCTAAATAAGCTGTCATTGAAATAATTTTTAAAGTAATCTATACTGAATAATTAGTTATATATCTTCTAATTATAAAAAATTGACTATTGTATCTCTACAAAAAAAAAATTTGAAAATCATATCTCAATACTGTCGTTCTGGAAAATGCATATTTTTTAGAACAAAATAAATAAAAATTCTGGGTAAAAATCAAATCTGGGTAAGATTTCAGTTACAATAATCAGTATAATGAATTGTAAATAGTTAGAAGCAAATCTTACTGGATTGATTTTTACTCAAAACTTCTAAACTTACTGGAATTCTATAGAAATAACCAGAAATTTGTATGCTTTGTTCTGAAAAATGATCATTTTTCAGAATAATAATGGAATGGTAATCTGGAAAAA